GCCGACAAGAGCTACTAAGTATCAGTTTATGAACACGAGTTTTTCGTTGCAGTTTATTCATCATACTTTGAGAAACTAAATATATTGGTTGATTCTATACTACGACGATTGTCATTATCAACAATTTTCACAACTTCAGCTGCTGATGGACAAAATTTGGCAATTTTTTGTAACAGTGCCATTGTTGTACTTGTTTTAAATAATCCTACAGCACGTCTTTTAAGGCCATGTAAAAGACACGCTTCAACAGCACCTGAATAATGAAACGAAAAACATTAATCAAATATGAATTCAAGGTGATTTACTAGAAAGTGTTGTCACACTACAATTTTCTTCATGAATACATTTTTTCATAACAGCTTCTTCCATCATTTGTTTAACCTAAGAAAGAAAAACCTATATTTTAATAAATCAAGTTCAATATAAATTTACTTCTCGTTTGACGGTCCATAATAGTTTTTGACGACATTGTTCTTGTTCTGCAAAATAAAAACGTCATCTTTTCTTTGCATTTTAGAATATCAAAAACTCTACCATCAATATCGACATTTGTTTCAATCGGCTCAGTCATTTTTTTGAATACACGTTTATAGATTTAACATTTAATTTTTTTGGAAGAAAATAAATAGAACTTCGTATTTAATCGTTATGCCGTCGATTATTGTTTTTCTTCCTGCTTCAGTTCCCATTCTTGGGACATTAGCATCAGAGTAAGCTAATTGACTTATATGAAACCATGCATTGAAACACCAATAAGAAGTAAGAATTAATTAAGATATAAAATTTTATTCTTAAATATAATATACAGATGAGAATTAAATAATAAATCAATTATGAGATTTTTGAAAAAGAAATTCGAAAAAAGTGACATCTATCGGAAACTAAATGATTTGTCAAATGGTAAAAGTAGACAATAAATAAAAATTCTTTAAAACCAGTATTTCTAATAGCAGATGGGTACCTATGCAATTTAAGTACATTATTGCTCCTATTGTTACTCTAATAAATGAGCACAATTCACTAATTGAATGCAATGATATGTTTATTAAAAACAAATGCACATGCACCTGCTGTTTTTACATTTTCCTTAAAAATTAAGAGCGGGTACAGTACAGTCGACTGTTTAGAGCGATCACTCTAACTGTCAAACCCACTAAAAGACGTCCCATTTTACCAAAACTCATCATCGAGTTCTACGGATCGTTTTATCGCTAACAAATACTCATTGTTTCTTCTACTATTTTCATTGTTTTATAAAATTACAGACAACACCAACGTAATAGCGCGCAAGTTTCCGTCGTTTTATATCTTTGATGGAGCCGCTTTATTGAACCTGAATGAATTAAATAATAGTACTTTATTTTTATCATGATTGGATGTTTTTTAATGAAAGAGTAGTGCATAAAATTGTTCTATTTTTCAAACACTTGATTATTTTTCTATTATCACCCAATCCTCCTTGTCAAAGTAACTAGGAAAACAAATGATCATGAATATGTTTCTCGCTTATTATTTGTTTTCTATCGATCGAGAAGTGTTTCATTGTTCAATGAACAAAAATGAGAGGAAATCTGCTTGATTTTTCTTCAATATATAATTTATAAAGTTTCATCGTAGCATACTTCGATATATTCTGTTTACGAAAAGAAGATGTATGCATAGATTACTAGTATAAACAAAAATGTATAAAGATATTTTGTTTTGAATGTCTATCAGAAACGCTGATTGTAAGTAAAAATATTTTAGATGAGTGTATCTACAACAAAAATCAACACAGCAATTACTGAACCTTTAGAAATCATTGTATTAGGAGATAGTGCACTTGGAAAATCTAAATCATTAGAACGTTTTCTCATTAATTCTTACTAAATTCGTTTTATTTTGTTTTCAATTACAATCGACTGATGTTTTTACATATAGTGTTAGTGCACGTTATGTAACATTTGCTGTTAATATATATAAACATACAGCTAAACTTGATGAAAAATAATTAGATATCAAGTTTTAGAATACAGATTAGTATAATGAATGATCGAAAACTTTTTAGACAAGATGCATGTTCAGTTCTGATCTACAAGAAAGTATTTCCGACGAGTTAAACGTAATGAGTTCATATCCTTTTCGAGGGTAATGAAATAATCTTAAAGAAATCTAAAAGAGGTTTTTGTTTACCTTATAAGTCCCTTTTCGAAGATGCTAAAATTTGTTCAAGTCGATCATTTTGTAGAACGAACATTTCTCTACAAAGTATGCTTTGGAACTAAACTGTAGTTTTTACTCAAGCATTTTTTTCAAGAGCTCATTTCAACGTAAAACGATTGTTGACTTTTCAAAAATGAATATTTAGAAAAAATTAAAGTTGAGATGCCTTGTCAAAAGACAAAATTCATTTTGTATGGTAGCTTCTAATCTATAAACTAACATATAAATGAAAATTCTAACATTTAGTTTCAAATCGTCATAGTGAAAACATAAATATTTTCCGTTCAAACTAAGTTTTTGAGCTTTTTGAAGATTATATCATTACTCTCGAAGAAAATTTCTAAGGCCGTATTCGAAAAAAGCATAAACTCAGAGCTTTTGACTCATCGGAAACACTTTCTAGCCGATCAAAAGTGAACAAACATCTTGTCGACAGACTTTCCGATCATCCGTTATGTAATTTAATTTTGATATATTAATAAAAATTTTGTTATGTTTAAGCTGGTCAAGAAAAATTCGATAATATTCATCATTCATATTTTCATGAAGCACAGGCTTATATTATGACTTGTAATTTTAATCATATATGACTAAAAAAATTCTTGCTTTATTTTGCATTATAAAAAGATATTTGATAAAACATGAAAGGTTATTAATACGAATTTAGACCGTTGATATAATGAATTACGTGATATTGGTCCACATATTCTATGTTTATATGCTGTTAATAAAATAGATGCTGCGATGGAAATGACAAAAAAATCATTTTCTTTTCTAAAAAAGCCATGATATGCCATTATATTTTGTATCAGCTGCTGCTGATACTAATGTAGTACGATTTTTGAGTGATTCAATGCATCTTGCAAATGCTTATCGTATTGACGATACACAAGATTTCATCGATCAAGTATTACGTGAACTTGAAGTAGGTTAATATACAAAGCACAATCTGTATTATTTTCAGTTTTTATGATGAAAAATAACTTTGCTATTGATTTATTCTTTTCTTTTTATTTTTAGTCTCTTGATAGTGTTTGAGTATTATTAGTTAATGTATTGCTAGGTTCAAAAATAACATTGATACAATTATGAATTCAAATTAGACTCTCATATCTCATACATTCAGAATCAACAGAGATATTCTCCTATTCGATTAAGTGTTTTATGAATATGTTTTCTTAATCAGATAATATTTGAAATAGGATGTTTGTTTTTAGTTGATTTATCAACATTCTAAGAAGAAATTTTCATATTAATTGAATTCACTGATAGTTCTAGAATGAAACTATTATTAATCCATATGTAAAAACCTGTACATAACATATTTGTCTCATTTTGGACCAAGTAACTTGTACTGAAGAATGATGAAACTAGTTTGCTAGAATGAAAATTTCATCTTTTTACTAAATATATGTTCTGAATTTTATTTTCGTTGGATTTAAGATTGGTTGACTGTGAACAAATATCTGAATAAAATAAACAATGTTGTTCATATTAAACAAATCAAACTTTGACTTTCTTCTGCTTTAAAGTATTATATTTTCTATTATTTCATGAGTTACAATCAGCTAGAAACAATTTTCGAAGAACTGCACTTTACATGAGACTGCATTTTTCAAAAAAAATGATGTCGTTTTTTTCGAATTTCGGTATCGAAGTACAAAATCTTTCAGTCTTTCGTAACAATATGTAAAACAGGGAGAAATTTGGTCACTTTGTTGGACCTATTTCACTTCACACATTGATCTATACAAAGCCTTCTAATAGTTAGAATTGCGACTGTTCTAATCAAAATAAAGAAAAAAAAACTTATCAGCATGGCTCCTTTGAGACCAAAATACGGAGCTCATATACTTCATTTAACCTACGAGATAATTTATTAGATATATATATAATCTAATAAAAAACAATTTCAAAACAAGTGCAATTGAAATAAAAGTGTCACATGATAATCATATACGTAGTTCATTGTCCATTGAATAATGATCAAGGTAGTAGTCGTTTCTACGATGTACTTTTTTTTTTGTAAACAGCGAAACAATTTGTAACGAGAATACAAGGTCGGAGACCTCGATATAAACTTTCATTCACATTTTCATATGAGAGTTCGATAAGTATCGATATCGTTTTTACTCGAATCAAAGATTTGCATACGATGAATCAGTACTAAAACAAACAAAATCCTTCTAAACGTATATTTGAACAGAACTTGAAATTCTCATTCTAGTTGACGACTTTTGACTCTTCTCGATCACTTATAAACGATCGCAAATATTGAACAAATATACTATGTCAACAATTTTTCCATATAAGTTCTACGGAATAACCAAGAAAAATATTCTTATCATACAATATTTCTTCATTTATTTCGGAATCCATTTTTAATTATATAATCAATCATATTAAGAATAATATTTTTTTACTTTTTGTACTATTGTAAATGACTTATGTCAACGATCAAAATACATAAAAAATCTAGAACTTTTATTATTTACATGATTTATTTCAGTAAATTAGTTTGTATCGTCTTAAGAGGTAATTTTTTTTGTTTTGACAAACAATGATGACACAGCGACGCAAGATTAATTTTTGTTTTATTATGGTTTGTAACATTCTACAATTTTTCTATGTCATATATATATATATATATATATTATTTTTTCCGTCCATAAACAAGAAATATTGGAAATTAAATAATGAATTTCTCATTTTTGTTTCTTTTAGACCATTTTTTTTTTCTTATGTATATTTGTTTAATGAATAAATGTAAAGTAGAAAATATCAATAAATAAAATAAATTATGTTTTACACGAAGCCATATTGCCATTTATTGTATCTGAAAAATTAAAATGTTCTACAGTTGTTTTTGTTAATGATGCTTGTTTTGATACTGGTGATAAAAGATTTCGACGTTCAGCTAATATCTGATTTTTATCAAGTGAACCAAGTGCTAGACTTGATACTCGTCTTGGTCGTTTATCATCATTAATATTAATACTTTGATTTGATTTTAATGAATGTGTCAATTGAAATATTTCACGTAACTCACGACGAAATAATGATGATGTAGCTGAATAAAGAAAAAAGTTACAACAACAATTTAAATAACGAAATGTTTGTGTTAATGTAACTAAAGTAATATTTTGCACAGTTAATCGACGAATTTGCATATAAAACCAATAGATTCTATAAAAAAGAAAAAAACATAAATGAAATGATTTTTTTTCTGTTTATTTTTTGTTTTGATTTTGAAATTGATTCTTACTGATATGGAAATATCATAACCATAAAAGCAATAGCAACAGCAATCAACATCAATGTTATATTTCGATCAGTATTTCGTTGTCTTTGTTGTCTTTTACGTGTTGATGATGATCCGAATGATGAATCATTAGTAAATGTACTACTTGATTGCATGAGTGAACGTTGTATGACTGTATTTTGACGAGCATGTAAACGATAAACGATAAGAATATTAAGTACACCAAGAAAAAAGAATGGTACTAAGAAAAAAAAAACAAATTAAATCTACATCATATTCTGTCTGTTTTTTACCAATATAAGTAAATATAACTGATATTGTTCCAAGGATTTTATATACAGTTGGCCGTAATAATTCACATGTATCTTCAGGCTTAGGTTGATCTGGATTATAATTTAATGTGAATGGAAACCATGAGAAACCAAATATTGATATTAAGATATAACTGATAACAGTGATTAATGTTGATTTAAATGTAACATATTTCGATTTTTCAAATGGTTTCCAGATAGAAAACCATCTTTCAACTGATATAAATACAACTGAATAACCACTTACGGCAGCAAATAGAAGATCGAAATAGCCATGAAAATGACTAAAGAATAAATATTAAATATTTTATTTTGTATAAAGTTTGTCAAGAAAACAACACGTATAGAATTGTCTATTGTTGATCTTGTATTCCGGATTTTAAAATATTACGTCAAGTATGTTATTTTATTTCTTGAAAAAATTAACTTTTTCTTCATGATTGACAAAATTTACTCTTGAGTAAAAACACATAAGTGCAAGATTCAGGCATTTTGACTTTAAAAACCTCTTATTACTTTAATATTTAATGTCGTGTTTACCCTTAGGATGAAACAAAATTTTCCGCGAAAGAAAAAGAAAGGTATGCGCATTTTCAAGCATATTGTTTAAATATTGATACAAGAAATACTTAATATCATCATTTACATACCACCAAAATGCCGATTCATCTGACAATGATACACCACGAAAATCCGGCAAAATTATGTTAAATAATGAAGTAGTTAACAAAAGAATATCACTAACTGCAAGAACAATTGTAATTATCGATACACAAAATTTAATCATTTCACGACGTGCAAATACCAATATAGATAAAAGATTGCCAATAATGCCGATAGCAACGGCACATGGCATTACCAGATGAATACATATGTAAACAGTTAGATTTTTTCCACTTGGATGATGCAAAATAGTACTGCTATTATTGTTAGTCATAATTAGGATAATTTACATGATCATAATCTAAATCTAGAAAAATTAGAAATAATTATATATAAAAAAAAAAAAAAAGATAACTTCTGGTAATACAAATAAAAAATTTCTTTCATGTCATGCACTACGAGTCCTATCAAAGTAAATGTTATAAAGTCAACAATGGGTGATAGAAAGCTAAAAAAAAAATATTTTTTTCTCGTTCTATTCTAGTCGTGATAGCCATCAAATATAGAGCCTCTGGAAAAAAGTTTCTATCGTTCATTTATTTTCAATTTCTTGAAAAATAGAAAACTAATCAAAAAAAAAGAATCTTTTATTCAATGTTATTATTAGACGAATTTCTATACATTCTAAGAATATAAATAAATAAAAATATGTCGTATATGAAGCTAAAACTATAATGAATTATTCTAAAATTTATACTCTTTAAACAACAATAAAAGATCGTTTGGATAGCCAATAGTAGTGTACTGGCCGATGGAATAATTTAGAACTGTTCGTTTGTTTTTTTTTCTTTCTGCAAAACTATTAGAATAATTAAATATCCGAATCTTAAATAGATCAACTAAATAAGATTTATCGTTATTCTGAATCTATTGCTTCTTAACTATATGTTGTTGTTGTTGTTGTTGTTGTTTTATTCAAATAAATTATCATGTAGCCTTTGCTTCAACATATGGCTTCTGTTTGATATAACGAAAATCATAATAGATAGATTTGCTTGCTTTCTTAATTATCTATAATAAAAATCTATTGACAGATTCGTTTAAAAAAATTATCAAACTTATATATTTAACGAAGGCTTAGAAGAATAATTTTAATTTATATTATATTTCATGACGACCTTTAATTTATCTATGATTAAAACGTCATGTTAAGTTCATCTAATCTTTACATGCTTCATTATCCTAAGCATGCATGTTCTTTAAGAAATTAAAAAAAATATATTCAAATAGTAGCAGTATCACCTATCAGAAATATTGCGAATATTATTCGTAGAAATTTATTGTAGACGGACTATTCGAGGATATCCAAGTTCCAGATCGATCCTTTGAAGCGATATTATCCAATAGGTTGAGGTCTTAACGATGAATGAAGTATTATCAATTCTATGAACTCATCGGAAACATCAGCTCATAGCCTTGAAATATTCATTGACTGATAGTTTGCGTATTCAATAAAGATTTCTACTAATATCTTGTATTCATCGACGATACATAGGAATACGAAGAAGCTTTGAATTTATTTCTTATTCAATGGAAACAAGAAGAAATCCTTTTATTAACACTAATATTAAGAGAAAAATCGGAACCGAACTCATCAACAAGTAGATTCATGATCAATGGATAAAATTCTTTTTTCTCTAAATTTCTTTATAAATTCTGAAGAAAAGGTCAATAGAATATATTAAATAAAGAAATATATTGTTGCGATTAATTATTAAATAAAACATGATCTCGAATATCTTTTTACCTCGTTTTAATATCTAATTGTGTTTATGAATATAAAGTCATGCTCGACAGTCGAATAACACAATAAATAAGTCATTGGAATAAATAACTCATCGTCTATGTTTGACACATGAGAATATATTCTAATGAACTTTGCTTACTGTCTTTTCTCTCTCCCTCTTTTGCTCGCATCCTCATATACTAGTCGACAATAATCCGATTTAGTTTTTTCTCTCATTCAGTACTAAAAAAAAAAAAAAAACTTTGGTCGTCTGCTTTTTTTTCTCATATGCGCAAATTGACATACGAGCATAAACCAAACAGTGCTGCATATCATTCGTTCCAGTTAGTCGAGTACACATTCAATTGTTTCATTTTCTATATAGAACATTTGAAGAAAAAACTAATGAATGGTTTTTGCTGGATCAATATTTATATTGCATTAGATATGGCAAGATTATTTTCTCAACACTTGATATTCATATATTTTTCATTTTAATTTATGTTGAGAGAGATAAATAATAAAATAATATTGCTTTATCTGACTATTTAAAAATCACAGAAAAAAAAACGCAATAATTAAATAATCTATAATCTCCTATTTCTAATCTTTTTTTATTCAGAAAAAATAGAAACATATTTTCTTACATTCAATCTATTCGTTTTATTGTAATTTTAATCCGGGTATCGAATGTAATCAAGTATGCATAATGAATTTGAATATGTTCTGATATCGAATTTTATGCTTAGTTATGACCTGTAAAAAGACACTTAATACTCAATAAAGTCATATTTTATTGTTCGAGGACTCGATCTTATTATGTTCTGAATAACATTAAAAAAGTCCATAAAATAAAACATAATACTTTCAATTGATATAAATATTTAAAGACAATGTCACGTACGTTTATTTTTTACCTCATCAAAAAAAGAAAACGTGAGAAATTGATATTGATCGGTTTCCGTATCTACTGTCATTTTCAATAATATACATTTAATTTTGGTATATTTGAATGCATCTTGACGTATTTCATGTATGTTAATACTTGAAATCAAAGAGCTATCTAAACTTCATTAGTGTTAATTAGAGTTCAAGCGAACTGAGGTATTTTTTTTTACATCTCTCAATTTAATGAATTAACGCAATAGATGATTGTTATCTTTTTCTCATACATACATACATTTTTAGGCATTATTGTGTTCATGTCAGACTTTCTTATAATTCATTATTCAATATGATGAAATGAAAGTGATTTTTCGTCCTTGAATCAGTCAACATTGCTGCCGATAACAGCAAGTAGCAAAAAAAAAAACGAGATCGAGAATCGGAAAGTCATATTTGTGACAAAGGCAAAGAGAAAACGGATGTACTTTCAAGTGATGTTTGCAGCTTCTTTTTGTTCTTTGGCTTAACTTTAAGAATTGGGCGTGCCTTAGTTTCCTTTTGCCATCCTTATAAGATCTACTGCTTAAAATTAGAGCATAAAGAAAGAGAAAGACATAAGAAAAGATGCAATAGCGTGCAGCATATAGGAAAGAAAACGAATTATTTTCAACTAATGTAATGAAAAAAGACAGCACAAGAACATCATCATTATCATTATCGTCATCGATACAATGCAGCAAGAAATCGTTTCATTGTCGTTGTTGATCCTCTTATTTAAATATTCATAGGAAATACTTATAAATATGCATCAAAAATTCACAAAAAAATTTTAATATGGCAAAAAAACTGTTCAAGCATACAAAATTTACAATCAATGAGGCATAACGACCAGAATCTATGCAAATGATGGACAGTTGGTAAACATTGTCAATCATTCTAAAACATGTACACTAATGAGTATTTATGCTTTGTTAAATACTATACTTAATTAAGACAGATTTTGTTTGCCAAGATCTCAAGTCATAAGAAAACACAATAATCTTTTTTTTGTAAAAAAACTAATTGAATTCTAATAATTTATCTTTATGTAAGATCTCATATTTTATTATTAGCAGTCTAATACAAGATGAAATCTTCTCAAATATTCTGTCTGTCGAATAATAGTTAAAAGTGACATTACTACACATATACTATTTCAGTTGTATGTACAATGTCTATAGTTTAATATGTTCGTGGTTGAAAAAGTGAAAAACTAGTATCGATTACTATCTTGATAAAATAGATTGGACGATGAAAATAACAACTATTTAAAAGTAACGACCTATTTCTGCCTTATATATGTATATATATAAGTAACTAGAAATTTTAGACTTAAACTGACTAAGATTAAAATAATTTTACTGATTTGTGTCAACATAATTCATTAGTTTACTTGAACACTATTAATAATTGATTGGAATTTATAGAACATAGTGATTTCCATGAAATAATTGTACTTACTTGATGTATTTTAATAAAATTTCGATAATGAATAGTACAGTTATAATTTGTTCTTTCTCGAACAAATGATCATAATAATAGAAATGTTTGAATCAAAGAATCATAGGAAATAAATAAAATGAAACATGTTTAATGCCATGAAAGAACTGCTTTCTCCCTGGATATTTCCGTTCACAGGTTTCTTTTAATTAACTTTGTTTTTCTTTTTCTATTTTTAAAATTTATTATAGAACGTACCTCTTAATTGAGATGAAATGTTTCACACGTTGTACTAAAACGAGACTTCAGGTCAAGTAAGTAAGATAAACAAGACAATATGTTTCAAATGTAAATGATAGAAGAAACGTGCAGTGGTAAATGAAAACAACTGACGCTCTCTGTTGCTACATACAAAAATACCGAGAGAGTTGTTGGCTCAATTTCCTTTCTTCTCTCGTTTCTTCATTATAAGATTATTCGCTCTCTTTGCTGCCTATTGACGATAATATCGCTTTTGTTACCGCTTCTTCTTTCTATTTTCTTTAGTTGTTTTTCAACGATGTCTACCTATGTGAGAGAAAAAAAAAGTAGAAGACGAGTGTTCGGATGTGGGCAGGAAATCGTTTAAGCGTGCGTGTGCTTGCCATTCAACAACACGTACATACACGTAATGATAGAATTTTTCTCTTACATACCAATCTAATATTTACCATTTTTCTCGTTTTTCTGATTGATCTCTGGCATAATGATTTATATATTAGCAGCAAGATTTCGAGCTTGTCTTCTACTATCGATTGTTGCTGACATGATGACAAGTTAATAATTTACAACTGTTTGTGCACGCCTTTTCATAATTGTCGATAATATAGCAACGGTCTTAATATACATACCTACATATTTATATTATGTTATAATCAACATATAAGAAAAAAAACGAGAAAGTCGATTAATGAAAGTAATAACAAAAAATGTTTTTTAACTATCTAAAGAGAAGCAATAATTTTAATAATGAACAGCAAATACTTTATGCTAATTAGTTATAAAACGAAGACCATCTGTTGATATTCTTAGATTAAAAAATAAATAAAAAATACTCAATACGA